CACTTTAGTCCTCAGCCTTTTCCCAGGTGATGAAATTCATTACTGGGACAAATTTACAGCAGTGTCATTCTGCTCCTCTGTTCTCTCCTCCTGCTGCCAATTCATCTCCCTCTCAGGAGTGGCTTCAGTCAGGAGTGTGGCAGCACCAGGCTCCATGTTGGCTGCAGAACTGGCTCCTGTGTTAATATACTGTTGGAGGGAAAAGGGTAAAAATAGATGCAGGTGATGCATATTTCATTTAGCAGACATTTCTTTTTATAGATATACTGTAATATCAAATAATATATACAAATACTGAAACATTTTCTGAATAAATTTGACTCAAATAAATCTTTGTTTATGTGGTTCGTTTAGAAGGAACCTATAGTTCCTCGCCGCAGTTCACTTGTTCAAGATTTAAGAATGTAAAGTTTATTTGCTTCGTAGCTTCTGACTTAACACTTTTTAAAATATATTTTTTGCAAGAATGTATAGTTATAGACATAATATATGATATTAGAAATATATTATTAGAAAAATAAGTTTTATAGAAATATATAGCCTTTTTATATATTAGAAAAGAGATGATTCAAAAACGATTCAATGTTTAAGAAATAGCCAAAGTCAGTATGAAGTAAAAACTAATACAGAATTGGCAAAAACAAACAAAAACAAAACAAAACATAAAAACAAACAATACAAAACCACGTAGGTTTGACAAAGTTACCCAAGAGATGATTCTGAATCTGTGTTTGGGTGTAAAATATTCCACATTTATAAACATGTAGATACAGTACTAGGCTGAGAGTGTTTGTTTTTGTGTTTTAATATTCAGGCAGAAACAGTGGAGGTCAGAGTTGACTGACTATTTGATGAGGAACACCACCCAGATTTAACCACCTGAGAGCTAAAGAAAATCCAAACACCAGCTGTTCCCGGAACCTCCATTAACATCTGGAGCCAACGATCGGCCCTAATTACCTGGGAGACTTCCCACTTCATCCATCGTCTTCTCGTATGTCTCACTCATTCCTAAAACGAGGACTTCCCGTGTTTCCTTCTCTCTGGAGTGCTCTGCTGCCAACTGTTCACAGATTAGCAGCTTCAGGCACCGTGTTTACACTCCAGCTGTTGTTGAAGCAACGCCCCACATCAAAGACTCAGCTGAGTCTGGAAACTGATCAGCTGTCATGAAGGCAAACTGCTAATGAACACATTAAGGAGGTAATTGATTTGTTTGTAGCTTTGTTTACACTCACAGATTTAATTTGTAGGATGACGAACAACAGAATCAGACCTCACTGGATCACAGGCTGTGGTCCTACAACCAGCATCTCATAATTTTCAAAATTTTGAGTTTTATGAGTTGTACCAATTGTTCAGAACAATAACGGGAGTCGTAAAAGGTACAAATAAAAAAATTACAAAGTCAAAGTCAAGCTCTTCAGCTATCAGTTCTGTCATCACCTCTCAAAGTCCTTTATAGAATTGACGAGACCAGTGGTTCTCCAACTTTTTATACTCTGTACAACCTGAGAAATCATTGAGCTGAGATGTTTATAAAGATGTTTAAATGTTGTATTAATTGTGCATAGTATGTTTGAGATTTATTCAATTGAAAATGTAAATGTGAAATATGAATTTTCCCCCCGTACCACTAGAGAGCGCTCACGTACCACTGGTGATATGTGTACCACAGTTTGAGAACCACTGGACTAGACTACACTTTACAACACTGCAACCCTGTTAGGATAGCAGCGAAAGATGCAAGAAAATAACACTAATGTCTCTCTCTCTCTCTCTCTCTCTTTCTCTCTCTCTCTTTCTCTCTCTCTCCAACCCGTTTACACCTCGCAGCTCTCTGTGCTCCTTTGTTTTCCTGTCTGTCACCTGCAGGAACCGTGCGGCATCATCCCACACATTCAGAGGCTTCTTCTCCTGATGATAAATACCTCTGTTCCTAATCACAGGCCTTAGTGAAGCACCTGAGTTAGCGTGTAGATTTAGGCTGTGCTAATAACCAGGCGCTTTGCTCCAAAAATAATCTTTGCTCAAATGCAGTAAATTGTTTCAGTAACAACAGCGATCTGCTCTGTGCACAGGCAGCTGCAACAGTTAAATCTCATTTTTCCATCAGCCAATAAAAGCGTGCATAGAGTTATTGACGAGCGTTACTCTTCTGTGAGTTAATGTGGATAGTAAAGAAAGAAATAAATAATTTCCCAATGCAGTGTACCAGCATAAATTCAGCAGCTGAAGAACCATCAACCGAAAAGTGGCGGCTCAGCGTCGTGGTGTGGTTTCCTCCATAATAATTTTTTAGCTGCAGCAACACAAGAAAGAGGAGGAAAATGGAGCATCCATCTCCTGCAGGACAGAAAAATATATTTCACAAATACTGCAGTATAATTCCTAAGTATGCAGTACCGCTTGCTATTCTTGTCATATCTGTTTCAGTTTATAGCCATTATATTCTAGGCAAAAAATAAATAAAAAAACGAAACATTTTTAAATTAGTGGCATGAACTCAAATGTTACATAAACTACTAACCTTCTAATTCCACCACCCACTTTTGGGTCGCCCCACTAATTTGTAACCTACAGCAGTGTTTCCCAAACTTCTTTTCTGGAGACCCATATTTTGAAAGTCACAAACCTTCACGACCCAAGTCAATAGATATTATTCGTAAACATGATGCAAGACGACCCAAAAAAAAAATCTTGCGTCCCACCTGAGGGTCGCAACCCATTCTTTGGGAAACAATGACCTACAGTGTGCTCTGTAGAAGGGCTTTGACAATAATACAGTAGTAACTCCTCTCCACAGACTCGGGTCATGCTGAAACACCATCCTTCCGGCTCCTACATGAGTTGGACTTTTTTTTCATTCCTACAAAGACGCTCATGTACATCATCAAGAACATCCATGACTCAGTGGCAGATCATCGCTCACACAGACCTTCAGTGGCGTCTCAGAGGGAGACAGGGAGGAATGTCGGAAGCTGTGGGAGGACGTACCAGGTGACCAACTGTGAGGAACAACAGGCCCGATAGAGAGAGGTGGGAGGACGACAGAAAGACATCATTCATGGACCCACTCCCACACTGATGCTCACTCAGCGCACACTTCAACTGTTGGTGGGTCTAAAATAAAAATAAACCAGCTTCTCATCCCGAAATGTCTGTGGGATGTGACGCAGGAACATTTCTCTCTCGGTGCACTTCCTGTGAGCACCATGGGTCTTACAGCGCTACTACGTCAATGACGAATGCAGAGAATCAGACGTAGAGCCGGTACAAATGTGAGGTCATTTGTCGTCATTAAAATACTTCAATGATTTTAGTTCAAAACAGAGCTTTTCTCTCCTGGCAGTGTATATCTGGACCAGTCAAGATACTGCAGCCATTAATGATGATAACTTAAAATGATCAATATTCACCAATTAATAAAATGTGGCTATTAATTCTAGGTATTTTAACAGAAACTCTCACAAACATTATTATATTTCCATGTTTTCTCTCTCTGAGTCTCTGAGAATTCCTCTCTCTTCTTTGTAGTGGTTTCTGTCCTGGGTCTGTGAA